ATAGACGGTACGCATGAGGCCGATTTGCCACCGTTTCTCATTGGGTCGTCTGGTTGATGCAGATGGCGTCTGTCCAGAGCCACGACGTGACGTTCTGGCGACGCAGCTGGAGGAAGAGCCCGTGCAGATTACGGCCGATGGCGTAGGATCGGCCGTCGACGGTGGCCTCGAGTGTCTCGCGCATGTCGCCCCAGACGTAGGAGAGGGCGCCGTACTCGGGATCCTCGTCGAGGGAAACATGGCAGAGCTCGAGGGCGATGGGGGCTTCCTCAGAGGGGGGTCCCGAAGATGGAGCCACCACGAAGCGGATGAGTCTGATCTCACGGCGAGCCTCGGACAGAGGACGGTGGTGGAACATGGTTTCGATGGGGATTCGATGGGGTTTGCGAGACAGAACGATCGCTGTGATGCGTGTGTGGTGTGTGGTGGTGACGTGCGCAGTCAGCCTCGGAGGATGTGGGCGAACTGATGCAGAGTTGTCTGAGTCCCAAAGGCTAGCAGGCGTCGTTGCTGAATTGTACAAGGAAGATCCTCTCAAGCCATGATGATCTCTCACAGCTCTGGAGAGGACGCATCATGCTCGAATGCAGCCATCGTATTGATGGTGGTTGGGATGTTGGAGGATGCTGGGTCAAGGCAGCTGAGGGGGTGCACGATGTCTACCAGACCGGTACTGCACCTGCCGCCGAAGGTAGGCAGGTAGGTAGGTAGGCAGGTACCTACCTGAGCAAGCTGTTGACAGAAAATCTGGCCCACACAATATCACTCATACCTACCAACTAGCCATTCTACCCTCCATAACCACCACAGCCCTCATCCATTGCAGCATTAAATAAATCCAGTTATTTACACGTTCTGAATTCATCATAAAGGTAGCAGCCCCTAGATTTTATAGGTGTATTATGGTGTAACAAATCGGTCATTTTAGTTGTTGTAGTAGTGTTGTTAGGGGAAGGATTTTACGAGGGCCAGATTTTCTGTCGACAGCCTGCTCAGGTACCTAGAGAAGGGAGTCACAGACTGAGCCACACTCCAAGTCCGCCGAACACAGGTCTCGTCCAGACAGACCCCTGACTTTGGATACCTCTCAATACCTCGCATCGGGATTATAAGCTCTGAAATTCAATCTGCTACACCAATGGCAACATAAATGAGAACAGACGTATCTTTATGATTTTCGAGCTAATGCTGCAGTAGAGCATTGCGGTTCCAAGTGAGGGCCCCTTGACGGAGTGTGGCGTCTTTTTTGTGTCATCCCCTGAGACAGTACCTAGGGGCAGGATCAGATGCAACAACAGCAGCCGACCCAACCTCAAGATACCTAGGACCTACATGGTACCCCAGCTCGGACCGTCTCCAGAGGCGCAATTGCAGACGCCAAGTTCTTCAATCCGCGCACAGCACCATACATAGAGCCAACCCCCAAAAGGAAAACGACACGGCACGCGGCAAAAGGAAATGATGAGGACGAGACTCGAACTCGCGCGGGTTGCCCCACCAGGAAATCTAGTTAAGGTAGACCTTAACCTGGCGCCATAACCAACTCGGCCACCTCACCAATTGATGAACAACAAGCCCGCCAGCCAAGCTCATAGCGGCAAGTTGCGGTGCATGAGTGGCTCAAGCCTCTACTCGTACTACAGCTTCTGACCGAACGACAACGGTGCAGCCTTGGTGCGAGGAGCGTGCACTTTCCATCGTGTTGGTTCCTCGTCGAATTCCACGCTTGGACTGCCAGGCTCGAATGAATGCTTCTTACTCTATCGCCCGCACGTTGCCTCATCCGTCTCGCAAGCCTGCGCGCGAGCTGCTACTCCTGCCTGTGCTCATCCTATTGTCCTTGTTTCTCTTGAGCAACCTGGTCCATCTGCTCGCCGTCTTCTTCGAGCCCCGGTTTGTCTTGGACTCGGACGACTTGCACGGGACCACCACCTCCTCCATGTACAGATCGTAGACGCCATCCCCGACGTACTTGTTGCGATACACCCACGCCGTCTTGACGTCGCCGCCCTGCCCGACCGTCAACGACATGCTGCCCTTGCCCTTGTCGAACCGCCCGCGCCGCCTCTTCCGCGCACCACCGAAGCATCGGCCTCAGCACTTCGGCCTCGGCGACCGGTCCACCCTCGGGCACGACGACCCCTGTGCGCCGTCAGCGCCGCCGCCGTGCCGAGCACGAAGCTGCAGCCCCGCCGTCAGCACCATGAATGAGATGGATCATGTCCCAGTGTTCCATGTTGAGCTTTCTGGCCGATCGTCGGCGCGTCTCCCCACACGAAGAGCGCCGTGTTCGACTGCGCCGCCATGCCGAGCACGCCAATGGCGAACCGTGACATGAGCAGCGCCAGCGCATCGCTGCTCCCGCTCATCGGCGTGCCCCAGTACGTCGCCGCCGGATACACGATGCCCTGGACCTGCAGGTCCTCGTCTGCTGCCGTTGTCGAGTAGCCTTGCAACGCCACGGCCACGGCCACCATCCAGACGAGATCGTCGCCGAGCGCGTGCTGAGGTAGCGAAGCGTTCGATGGCGTCCCGACCGTCGTGTTGCACTCGTAGAGCCACGGCGAGGACGATGATGCTTCAAACACGGACACGCGCCCACACGCCGGCCCGCATGGCGCCATTGTGTCGGTGAAAAAGGTCGACTGGTCGCCGCCGCCGAGGACCGGCAGCGTGACGTTGCGCGCGCCGCCGCGGCTGTTGCTGTCGGCGATGGTGATGTTCTCGAAGAGGCCGTCGCCGCCTGAAGTGACGCGATAGCTGCGGCATGCCGTGTCCACCCGGACGAGCCGGTTCGTCACGGCCGTGATGGGGAACGAGTTGGGGTCGAGGGCCGACTTGGTATTGACCTCGTGAAAGGCGTAGATGCAGCCCCCGTCGTCACAGAAGAAGAGCGGATCGTCGCTCGAATACAGGTCACCCGGCTGTGGGATTTGGTCGACTACTGCCGTGTCATACGCCAGTGACACGCTGCCGAGGCTTTTGGTCATCTGTTAGCTCTGGCCTGCTACTACAAGGAAGCTGCGCCACATCAAGCAGAGCGCCAAAGCAAGTCCGAGGGAACAACAATACCTGTTGGCCGTGTACTCCTGTGCACGCTGCGAGTTGCTTCCGTTGGCCACCTTTGTCGTCTCAATGGTCGACATGTCGGGGATCGAGACGTTGCCGCGCACGAGCAGCGCCTTGTCCTCTGTGCGTTCGACTGAGTAACACAAGCCGATGGAGGCGATGCCAACTTGGGCCCCGATGATCAGCAGCACCCACAGTGTGACGGCGACGTGAATGTTGGACCTTTTCGATCGCGACGCCAGACGGATGACGCGCGAAGTGCTGTGGGCATGGAGAATGTGCTCGACCTTGTGCTGAGATCGCGCTCTCCTGCTGAGAATCCACCACCGCATGTCATCGCACATGCCCGTGAGAAAGCTGGCCGTCGACAGGCCAAGAGTGATGAGCAGACCCGTGATGAGCGCGTTGAACTGGCGCTTCTTCGTCGTCGACATGACGGGTCGGTCGACCGAGTAACCGATCAGCACGGCGTACACGGCGACAATGAGCACCACCGTGACGATCCACTTGCCGAGCACACGGGCGAGGACCCTGACCTTGGAGGCCTTGCGCGCCGCGAGGCCCTTGAATTCGTAGAGCTGCACGTCCTCTGCTTCCGGCAGCGACGCCGGTGTCGGAGTCTGGCTGTCGCGGGGGCGCCGCCATGGAGACAGATGGCCGGTAGAGAGGGTCGACATCGTGATCATGTGGCGGGCTCAACTGCCGCGTCGCGGGGCGGGTTCATGTTGAAGAAACGGCTGCACGGCATGGGGGCTCCGTACCAGCCATCGTTGTATATGCGGGAGC